GTGAAGAGCCTCCACTCACCGACTCGTCCTGGATGAAGCGGTACTGGGCCGTGAAGAGCCTCCACTCACCGACTCGTCCTGGATGAAGCGGTACTGTGCAGTGAAGAGCCGCCACTCACCGACTCGTCTTGGATGAAGCGGTACTGGACAGTGAAGAGCCTCCACTCACCGACTCGTCCTGGATGAAGCAGTACTGGGCAGTGAAGAGCCGCCACTCACCGACTCGTCCTGGACGAAGCGGTACAGGGCAGTGAAGAGCGACCACTCACCGACTCGTCCTGGATGAAGCGGTACTGGGCCGTGAAGAGCCTCCACTCACCGACTCGTCCTGGATGAAGCGGTACTGGGCCGTGAAGAGCCTCCACTCACCGACTCGTCCTGGATGAAGCGGTACTGGGCAGTGAAGAGCCCAGCGAAGAGAGCTGCGATGTTTGCGGTGTATGAGGCCACAAAGATGACGCTGAATGCGCCCCATACGTTGATGAGCACCTTGTTGGGCCATGACTTGGGGGCTGTGGGCCACGCAATCGCTTGTTATTATAAATAAATTGGACAACATATTGAACGCTTTTTACGACTTTAATTACATTTAAGCAGACATTTTAAAATTGAGCAAAATTTCGAGCGCTTTTTACACCTCTGACTGCATTGATGCAAAATATTTCTTTTTACGCAGTGGAAAAAAACGATGATATTAGTTCGTTTAAAAGAAAGATATATCATTTATAATAATTATCTGCAAGTCACAATTCGTTATTTTAATATAATACTATTAATCTTGTAATATTTTCATGATGATTACTACTAATCAGAAACATAAAGAAATTTAAATATCAGCCTCTGAAGGCAGCGATGTGGGAAAAGAGTAAATTAGGCAAAATTAATCTAGTAATAAATAATTGACCATAAAATTATGATGGCAATGTTTAACTTTAGAAAGCAACGAGGTGAGAGAAGAGTAAATTAGGCACAATCAATCTAGTGATTAATAATTGATCATACAATAATTATTAATGACAACGCTTAACCTTTGAAGGCGACGAGATGAGGGAAGTGTAAATTAGGCAAAATTAATCTGGTAAGTAATAAATTAATCTAGTAATTAATAAATTAATCTAGTAATTAATAAATTAATCTAGTAATTAATAAAGTAATCTGGTATTTATTAAATTAATCTGGTAATTATTAAGCTAATCTGGTAATTAATAAATTAATTTGGTAATTAATAATTGATCATGCAATAATTAATAGCAATGCTTAACCTTTGAAGGCAATTAGGTGGGAGAAGAGTAAATTAGACAAAATCAATCTAGTAATTAACAAGTTAATCTAGTAAATAATAAATTAATCTGGTAATTAATAAGTTAATCTAGTAATTAATAAACTAATCTGGTAATTATTAAATTAATCTGGTAATTATTAACTGATCATACAATAATTAATGACAATGCTTAACCTTTGAAGGCGACTAGGTGGGAGAAGAGTAGCCCCCACACGACCCAGAGGGCGCTGCCCAGACTGAAGTTCTTGGAGCGTTGGCGCCCCCAGGGGTTGAGGCCGAAGGGGCTGTGCCACTCATACAACGCCACCGCCAACGCCGTCACGTTCAGAGAGATGAAGATCGCTGCCCACAACTCCGAGCTGAACGGGATCAGGAACGCCAGTAGAGGGATGTCCGCTTGTCTGCAAAGAACGGATATTTTCTGTTTACTTTTAATACTCAAATATCTTTTCTGTTTTACTTGAATAATAGAGATTAATGTCAAAAGAACGGGATCAGGAGCGCCAGTGGCGGGATGTCCGCTTGTCTGCAAAAAACGGTTGTTTTCTGTTTACTTTTCATACTTTACTGTTTTACTTAGAATAATATGAATAAACGTTAAAAACATTGAACTCAACGGGATCAGGAGCGCCAGTAGCGGCATGTCCGCTTGTCTACAAAGAACGGTTGCTTTCCGTTTATTTTTTACACTTTAAAAACACAATACACTTTTACACTTTTTACACAATAATATAAATAAACGTTGAAAAGGTTGGACTGAACGGGATCAGGAATGCCAGTAGCGGGATGTCCGCTTGTCTGCAAAGAACGGTTGTTTTCTGTTTACTTTTTACACTTTACTGTCTTTATCGCATTTTATCTTTTATGGAAAAAGGCGCTATATTGTGCTCGTCATGTCCGTCTTTCTGTCCGTCCGTCTGTCCGTGACTTCACGTTTTCGTCGCCGAGAAAAAGCGCTCACTGTCACTCACTGCAGTGAGTACTGAGTTATATTTTTTTACACTTTACTGTTTTACTTAGAATAATAGAAACCAACGTTGAAAAGATTGGACTGAAAAGGGATTAAGAACGCCGGCAAGAGGATGTCCGCTAATCTGAAATTAACATATAATTTTGTGCGTCATTTTATTACCTTTGCTTTGATAATTAAAACATTAGAGATCGCGACCGAAAGTCTGAACTTGGGTGACTGTCGGTTAGCACTCCTGTCAAGCTGGTTCAGTTGCTGGCGCAGACTGTAACAGCGTCTTCTTACCTTGGCTACAGAGCGGCGAAGCTTGTAGAATTCCATCACCAGCGTTAGTGTTGTGGTTAGCGGTATTGAATATCTTACCTTATGTTGAAGTTATGTTGACGCTATATACACTGCGTTATATTCACGCTGCATTACAAATGATAACCCGCGTTATGTTCACGCTGCATTATAAATGGCACACTGCGTTATGTTCACGCTGCATTACACATGGCACACTGCGTTATGTTAACGCTGCATTACACATGGCACACTGCGTTATGTTCACGCTGCATTACACATGGCACACTGCGTTATGTTCACGCTG